TAAGACCAAAAAGCAGGTGCTCATCTCGACTAGTTACTCTCAAGGTCATGACTAAAGATTTTCCATTAATTCTACCCTCACGTTTAACCGTCCTCATTTGATTATATTACGCATCTCTAGGTTCACTCGTCAATATGGATTATACCTATGCAGAGCCTTCACAATGATTAATCCGCCAACGGGGGGCTTCACTAACTAGATATGTCACCAGATGTTTTCAGCCAAGCCACAGCAGCATCAAGGCAATTTTGTCCCAGATCTTCCCACAGGAAACTTTTCCAAGAAACTGAAGTCTCATATGATAATTCAGGTTGGAAGGGACCTCAGGTGGTTTCTAGTCCAACCTCTTGATCAAAACAGCGTCAGCACTGAATTCAAACCAGGAGTAGCAGAAGAATTACAATATAAACCTAATCTTTGAATAAGAGATAGGTATTGTACCTCATCTCTATTTCCAGTAATGCAAGACAGAGGGGTTCAGTATGCCCCAAGTGCTTCCTCAGCTTCTAACCAGTTGCAGCTAAGGAGTTCTCTGAATGAGATGCGATTTATATAAATTTACTGAATTCCAGTGGATTTTTCTTCATTGTTCAGATTCACAGTGAACCCAGGTAATATTACTGGTGGGACTCAGCTCACAGAAGGATACACCTCATTTGGGGTGTCTACACGTAGGCTTCTGCTTGTGGTCTGGTTGTTGTTACAGTCAAGCTAATGCAGCCAAAAAAGTGGTTCAGTTGATCAGATATATGTGTCTACATATAATTCTCAGCTCTTGCCAATGATGTAACCCATTTATTGGGTATGTTTTTGGTGCTTCTGTCAAAACAGTGACTTAGAAATGAAGTTTAGTGGAATGATTCATGTGAACAAAAAATAAGAAGTCTGGATTGCCTTCCTATGGTGTGGGAAACTGTATTGGAGATGAATGTGGGGTTGTGTATTTCATTTTAGTCCCTTAGAGCGCATTTGGTTCCTTAAAGCACAGAATTACTTCTTCAAGGCTCACAAGTCCAAAGCATGAAAAGGTCAGGGAGTCACTGTGCTGTTCCCTGCTCTCTGACATTTTTTCTGTTACCTTAATTGTCTTCACTTAAAATGCAGAGCATGTGGGAGTTACTGGACTGAGATAAGAAGAAGTCAGAGATATCCCCACAGGTACATCAAGGTCAAGTGCAGTGTCAGCCCTTGTACTCTGCCCACGTACCATGATGTAACCACTGGTAAACAGCCTACTGATGCAGGGAAGGAAGTCACTGCAGTGTGGGTACAGGTCACTCAAAAAAGACCTCTTTACCCCAACCCTACAGTAGAGGTGACTGTGTCTCATATTTGAAGGCATTATTCTATCTGTTAAGGATATTTAGATATTCTCAGTAGAGAATGCTAGGTGTTATGAGCACAGGTTGATTTTTGCCTTTGTTTTATTGAGAGCCTCAAATAGTCGGGTCTCTGTAGTGTACACTACTACCTCCTACTAGATTTAGATTAAGCTTTAGACAGCTGTGATATTACCAGAGGCTGAAGCTTCTGGAGTTAAGTATTCTACAAAAATTCAAGCTTTTCTTAAAAAATCTGAATAACGTATAGAAAATACAGTACAAGCAGTTCATATCGATTATGCCTACCTGGTTCTGTCAAGAGCTTAAACCAGCAGCTTCAAAAAGTGCAACAAGTTTTATATTGCGTTGTTAGCTGGGTAACACTTGCAAATCCATTGTGACTTGGTAAAATATAAATATAAATATCATAAATATACAAACACACATATATACACATATGTACATTTCAACTTGATAGAGGAAATGCACCTTCTTAGTGCCCATGTTACACTCTGGCTGGGATGTGGTTAGAGCGGTGAAGACTCAAGCTGTTCCAAGTGTTGCTGCTTCCTGGAGGGCCCAGGCTGGTGCTGTATTGATGCTATAGCTCTGGCAAGTAGGCAAATAGCAAACCTCTGTGATACTACATTTATATATGACAGATCCACAGACCACAGCAAAGCAGAACGTCCAAGGTTTGCCTCAGTTTGCCTCATTTTGGAACATGGCCCAGGGTCCTTGCTTTCACAGTGGAATCTTACATCCCTGGCAGGCTGTGTAAAATTACATGCTAGAGGAAAGCAAAAGGTTTCCTATGATATTTCCAGGTTTTCTTTGATTCCACGTAGGCCATCAATAAGTGTTGATTAGCAGGGAGAATGACCTCAAGTCACGTCAGCTGTAAGATGTGTTTTCCTGGAGGGAAAGGAAGAATATAATTTCCTCCTCTTAAAGATAAGAATTATCACATGTTTTAAAGGCTTAATTTTGTTCTTACTGTCTTTTCTCTTTTATAAAAGCCCTTCAAATGAAGGGAAAGACAGTCAGCGCTTAAAAATTTGAAATGCCAAGGCCTTTTCAAATACTAACACCAATGCATCAGACCTCATATCTAGATTCTCTGGGGTGTAACAGTTGGATTATGATAGAATAGAATTTAGTTTCTTTCCACTTTTGGGCATCTGCATAGCACTCACTTATTTGCCAATGCACTTGCCTTTTCAATTTGAACACTGTGAGATAGGACTTTCCAGAGAATTGATACTCCAGATTCTTAAAGTGATATAATACTTTTTTATACATTGAGATGCATTTAAAACTTAATTTGTTGAGAGCCACAATTCCCACTGTCTCTGCAGCCAAAACAAGTGATTGTTTTTGAAAGGGAGTGACAGAAGTGATAGGATATTAATTTGGTGATTTATCAGGAATTCAGTATGAATTTCTGTATCATGTCATTTTCACTGCCTACACACCTATATATATTTATGTCAGACTTGTATTTCTCACATGTAAGTCCTGTTGATGCTGAAGGTTTCATTAAATGATTTCAGTTTCTACTGTATTGATGCCAAGGGAACCAAAATGCCCTCTGGCATTCATCTGGAATTTCCTTCTATCTGTTGAGAAACTGTTCCTAACTCAAGGGATATCAATCCTGCTTATTAAAGAACAAGATATGAAAATATATTATTAATATTTCAGATTGGCAGGTCTTAGAAATCAATATATTTTCACTCTTTTTAAAGTAGTTAATCATATCTTGTTGAAGACACACCTGATTTTTTTTCCAGTGATTAGGCATTTGACGTTTTGCTGCTTTGTTACAGAGAATAAACAAGAAAAGTGAATAGCTAAGGTGGACAGTGAAAGAGTGCAGCTAAGTATCTTTAAGGTTTAAGGTTATTCAAATATTAGTTTTGAGGAGATTAGGGTATAAACCCACACGAACAGATTTATAGGATGATTTTGCATGGATTTATTGTTCTGGACAGGTCACAATAATATTTAATTATGTCGTTGTCATGCATGATCTAGCAATTTTTAATGCAGAGGTTATGACAGCTGGGATAACCTACCGATAGCACTATTCTTGAGTGTAAGTTTTGCAGAATTTACTTCCTGCTCTGAGCCACTCACATTCTCAGTTTCACTGGCCTGTGTCCAAACTCATTTTTCATCCTGTCCCTTCAATGTAGTTCCTTCTGCATAACACCATATTATTCAGCTCAGATACAGGCTTATCTTGTCTTAACTAAAATACCACTGAATATGGCCATTACAAGCAGAATGCAAAACTTGTTATAACATTGAAAGGTTTAGATTCACCAATTCTTGTTAAGCACAAGTTTCTAACAGTTTCTAAATATGACAGCATTTTTATTGCATGATGTTCATTTGTATGAATTACTGTGGTTTTGATATGCTCTACAGCATTTACGTTAATAAGAAACACTACTGATTTAATGATTAATAGTACGGTTGGAATATCTACATCTACCAGTGTGAGTTTTTCTAGAGAACCTGCTTTACTTCACTAGAAAATTGAAACACTTTTAGTGAAAAATGAAACATTGATTCTTTAGGATTCCTGAATTGTGGATGTTTTTTCCTGACTCCTAAAGAAATTAGGTGGGTTTCAGTTAAGCCTTGGTCTACACGTGAGTTAAGTGTATGAACTCTTGTAGTCAAATGAGATCTAACCAGTACAAAATAAAAGACAGCTGTTCAGTTGACTGTCAGATGACCACCTACATTTTGTCAGCTGAATGGATCTCATCTCCTTTGACTATGTTCATTACCTATCTGAGTTAGAGTTACACCGCCTAAACATTGGCATCTAGAGCCATTTTAGATACCTTTGGTCTTCTGTAGAACTCGTGTCACATCTACCAGTGCTACATTAACCCCATGGATATCTCAGGGTATTTCAAGTGGCATTAGAGACATATTTTCAGGCAACTGAATATATAGGAGTCTTTATATTCATGCAGAAATCTGTCCATGAGGCCAGTGTCTTGCAGAACATTGTCCACATGGAATCCTGGTTTTGAAAATTTCACACTGAATTACAGAAAATAAGTAGTGGTGGGAGAAGAAAAGATTAATGTGGCTTATCAATAGCAGACATAGGTACCTTCAAGCTACTCAGAGATATGCACCTTTCTTACTGTCCATTAGTCCCTTCCTCCTGCATGTTTACTTAGCAATTGTTGCTAAAGGCAAGCTGAGCAATGTTTACCATGACCACAGGATCTTCATTCTCAGAAGCAATGAATATGTCTCAAGGCATCACAGTTCACTTCTACGGGTAAACTATTGAAGGCAAATCTCTGGCTTATTTGTTTCTCACACGTAACCCAGTTATGTTCTCATTGTGTATAGACATTGAGTGTTCACTTTGACTGAATGCAGCAACCATACAACCATATTATATCTCCAGGAAAAGCTGGTTACACTTAGACTTGTGTACAGCAGTGAGTGATTCATAACTGATTTCTGTTCACCTTTATTTTTTTCTTTTTCTTTTTTCCTGTTAAGCAAAAGAAACCTGAGGAGAGAAATGACTGTGCAGGTCTTATTTCCTATTGAAAAAAATAGATCCTGCAAAACTCCGTCGTACTGATTGAAGTCAGGTACTAAATATCAATTGACATTTCCTTTCTTATGTCCATGCAGCTTTCAGAGGGAATAAATGCGGGCCAAGGACTGGGTATTGAAATCATTGCTACCTTCCAGCTGGTATTGTGTGTCCTCGCCACCACAGACCGGAGAAGGAACGATGTCTCAGGATCAGCACCTTTGGCCATTGGTCTCTCCGTTGCCTTGGGACATCTTCTTGCTGTAAGTCTTAGCTCTCACAGTTCATATCTGCAATGTCCCACCAAAGGATGGGGCAGAGAAGGCAGGAAGATGATGGCTTCTTCCTCTCCCACTTCAGAGACAGACCTTGTTTCTGCTGCATGCATGGCCTTTTTCTCTTGAGCCATGTGGCTGTGATAGTAAGTGATGAGATTGCACATCTGGGCAGAGTCATCTGTTTCTCTGGTGGGACAGAGCAGAGACATGGCAAAGAGTCTGTTCCCCTATATCTGAGGAAGAGTGGGTGGGACGAATGAAGCTGTGGCAAGCTGCCACTTGCCCTCCTGTATAATGAGGATGCCACATGTGCATGGGTGCCTCACCTCTGGTTCTCTTTCCATCCCTTAGATTGATTACACTGGTTGTGGAATTAACCCAGCCAGATCTCTTGGCTCAGCAGTGATTACCCACAACTTTGAAAACCACTGGGTAAGTTGAATAAATTTGTTTAGCTTACAAGAGACACGGCATATATGTCATCTATAAGATCAGAATCATTTAAGCATGTATTGTTAGCACCAAGTCAATGAGTTGCCATTTCTAGTTCATTTAACAAAAACAATCTTGTTTTGCTCCTGGCCAGCCTCAGGAGATCACAAAGTCCTCAAACTGTTTGTGTATGGAGTACACAAACTAGTACAGCAGATTTTCTTTGGTTATTTGTCTTTACGTTTATTTATTTCAAACATTTTAAAATTTAAAACATTGTTGCACAAAATCTCATTTTGGGAATTCATTCTTTAAACTGAGTTTGTAAAGTGCTACTGCTTAATCTGGTAAAACCTGATTTAGGAAGGTTCTTATGAAGGTTTATAAACTGAAATGAATCATCCAGTGTTTGGAAGCTAATAAAATATTCATCTTCTTAAAGTTAAGTGTCTACTTATGTGCTTTCATAGATAAGCACTCTGGAAACACTATAAATTTTGGATTATTCCCTGTGGTTAAATGTGGGTAAAATCAGGAACTTCATGAAAATTTACTTATTTCACTAGAGCTCAATAAAGAAAGCTAATATAAAAGCCCTGAATGAGCATGTGTTCTCAAATATTTAAAATGCAGCTTGTTCCAACTCTCCTACTCATGATCTTGTCAGCCATTTGCATAGGCATTCATGGAAATTTAGTGATAGTAAAATAGGTTATGATTTTTTTTATATATAGATGCCATTTTAATCTAAATAGTAAAACACAAAAGGAGGACATGTGGAATTTTGCCATCATCTTGTACTTAAACGCTTCTATTGGGATACTGAGGTAACTACTAATATAGTAGCTAGTATTTTCAGAAATTAATAGAAAAATTACTCTCCTTTGTAGAAAGACAGAAGGAGATAGAAGTAATAATTCATATTAAATGACTGATATTGCTGATGAAAAGAAAACATATTTTAGACTCAGGATCTCTTTGCCCATGTAAATCCTTCAAAATAATCTGTTATTTCTATTAAAATCAACCCGTCTATTAAGACTTTTATTACCTCTCCCTCTAAACTTTGCTTGCCTTATGTGATTAGATCAGTGCAATTACAATGATATAACTAGCTAAATAGTAGCTTGTAGCAAATTAAGCCCATAATTAGGTCCTCATTAAGTGTTACTTTCTAATTCACCTCTTACTGAAAGTTGGAGAATAGAATCTAATTCCCTTGTTGCTTTTAGAAATTGTATTCCCCTACCAAATCCCTCTGGAGTAACGGAGATGTTTTATCGGCAGATACTGAATTTTAAAGATCAGAAGATGACAACATAGTCACAGTTATTAATCTCTGGGTCTTTTGCCAATTCATGGTGAGAAATTCCCAGTTTTTTGTTTTGAGGCTAAGTAAATATTCAGGTGATAGACAGAAATTCTAAAGTTTTCACTATGAAGTTCATTGTAAAAATCCTTGGAGGAGTCTTTCAGAACAGCTCCAAATGCAGTAATACCTGATGTATTAACTGGGCTTGGAATTGTGTTTCAGATTTTCTGGGTTGGCCCAATCATTGGAGGAGCAAGTGCTGCCCTGATTTATGACTTCATCCTGGCTCCCAGAAGCAGCGACCTGTCCGATCGTATAAAGGTGTGGACCAGCGGCCAAGTAGAAGAGTACGATCTGGAAGGAGAGGATATGAACTCCCGAGTTGAAATGAAGCCAAAATAAAGAAGGACAACGTTAAAAAAAAAAGCACATTGGTTTCCGAAGATTTTATCAGTGTTATAGACTCTTTGTAAACCAGCAAGCAGTACTTTGTTTTTTATTTCAAGATGTTTTTCCATTTTTTGCCCCTAATCTTAATAGCATTTTTATATATGAGGTTTTTCAATGACAAAGTCTTCAGGCCAAGAAGTCATTAGACACATTTGTGTGAGCTAAATAAATTGGGCTGAAATTTAACTACTCCTTCGCCACCACCAAATTTTCTGGTATATTTAGCGTGGGTGGTTCTCCCAGCACATCACTCAGTAATGATAAGTAGTTCAAATGACCAGTCTGTTTGCTGAAGGAATGGATACCAAGGGCAGAAAATCATCTGTACCAACAATGAGGGGCTTATACCAGAAAAAATATTTATACAAACATTTAAGGCGGGTATCTAATGCTAGAAGTACATGCAAAAAGCTATCTTGAGTCATTGCCCAGAAACATCTTTTGGAAGGAAAGGACAATAAAAAACACTTGTTATGTAGAATTAACCAGATTTTTCTAAATTATTGATAATGTCTGAGAAATAGGGACAGAAAAAAAGAAGAGCAAGAATGTCCAGAGTCACAGGTTCCATCTGGATTTTCTAATGTTTAATTCTCCCTCAACCTGCATCCAACTCTTTGTGAGGAGAGAGAATATATGACAAAAAAATTATAGATATATTAATTCCTGGGAAGTAATAACTAGAAGTCAAATTGGAGAGTAGTAGTAACAAAGGCAACAAGAACAACTTGATGCCAATATCTAAACAGGTTCTGATTGTTCCTGTGACTACTCTGCTTTTGTTCATCTTACATAATTTATCTGTATGTTTTAAAACAAACCAGGAAAATAAAAGGGCTCCCTTCTTCTCAACCCCATTCTGATAGCCAGTGCTACGACATTCATGGACAATGAATGGATATACACACAGTATATTTTCTAATGAGGGACAGATACATACCTGTGTGTAAATCCACTTTGGGGGTAATTGCTTTGTTTTTATA